ATTGATATTAGCATTTTAATATTCTTAGAAGGTGAATTTGGAGAAGACTGATATAGAAGTTTCGGTTAGGAGTCATCACGATTTGAGGTAAGTTTCATTGCAATAAAAATCCTTTTACCTCGTAATTAATTTGAATGTTTTAATGTACAATTCGAGTAATGTATTTATGTGTATTAAATTTGAGTAAATGTTGTTCTATATGAAGTTGTTTGTACTTGATATATTGGTTTGTTATTATTGGATTTTGATACAAGTTATTATATACGTTTTTTGGGAGATTTTCTAATGGTGAATATTTTGGTGTTGTTGTGAGTAAATTGGATTTTGAGAAAATATATGTGAATTTTAGCGTATTTTGAAAGATACAAACTTTTGATTGGATTTTGAGAAAACAAAGAAAAGTTAATATTTTTAATGGTGACACTAATGTCTATAAGGCATAAATATTTATTTTGGAAAGACAAGATAAAAGACTTTTTCATAATTGGGGCACCACGGGAGAAATCTGTAGGTGTCGGGCCACCTTCACGTCCGTTAATGGTGAGGGATGGTTAGGACTACTACTACTTGAATTGAGAGCTGTGAAACAAATTAAATAAATTTTGGAGGGTTCGGTAATCACCCCGAACAACTGGGCATCAGATCCCATTTATTAGAGCAGCAGTAGTAGTAGTACCTATTCTCTTAAGGGTCTTTGAACCTAGAACTTAGGGAGTGTATCCCATTTGGAGTAGGGAGACGTTGACGTCAGAACTACTTAGACTTCATACTACTCGGAGGGCTTGGAATCCTTTAGGTAGTGTGCACACTTAAGGTAGAAGTCTAGATTCTAATAGAGGAGATGTGGTACCGAGAGCATATCGGAGTGACCGTACAAAACAACGGATCACTGGGCTCAAGAATCGAGATAACGCTTGAGCACCGCCCTTCTAAATGAACTAGGAGAATTAGCTATAAAGCTATTTTGAGGTAAATCAAATGTTTTGGTATTTTACTCTTAAAGAGTTGGATTAAAGAGTTGACTAAATATTTAATCATTTTATTAATTGTGAATTTCTTAAGTACAAATACTTGTGATATTGGTTTGGAAAACATATTTGTGGACATTGATTACGTGTTTTGTAAGGATTGTGATAAAGTGCTTAAGTGAGTTTTGAGATGGATATTTGGAGTTGTGTATATGATATATGCTTTGGAATATTTATGAGTTTTTATTACATTTTCTAATGTTGGAATTATTATGATTTGGAATATTATTATTTTACATATGAATTATGTTATGAGGATTTATTATAAACTAGTCTTTCACCCGTGCGTTGCACGGGATAACAAATTAGTAAAAAAAAATCATTATACAAATTCTATATTTAGAACGTCATATCTAAATGAAAACGATTAAACTCTTCAAAACAGTGTGTTTGGTTCGAAGTAATCCTTTATGTAGGCTGGAATCTGGTGTTTGGAATAAGAGATATTCGCGTTTGGTTCGCGTGCTTAATTTTTTCCGGCAATGTTACATTCCTTAAAAGAGAATACAGCAATGAGGTGACCGGTAATGTCAAACTCAACCCTCTCTTAGGTTATCCTACATTCCCTCTTAGATACGTAGTACTATCGTATATTTTTTCTTCTAGAAATACCCATGCTCATTAAATTAGAAGAAGCACCCTATGATTTCTTCTGCAATCACTTGTTCAAAAAAACAAAAGTTACTTTGCACTAAGACTTGGATGGGAAAATACAAATTATTAAATTAATGTAGAGAGAGTATTAAACATGTGTCAGTTTTGGTTGACACTTTTGATTACTCTAACATGGATGAGAAAAATAATACTCCGTACAATAGTTGTTAGATGAGCATTACATATTTTTACATGTAGTGTTCCAAAAAAACATACCATGGAAGTCAAGCTTTCTGTCATCAAGAGACCTGGGATCAAGGTTTTAAATAGCCGTAGCGGCAGCGGTAGCGGTCATCGCGGTAGCGGCCTGTAGCGGGCTGTAGCCGACTGTAGCGGTTGCAGCGGCGTGAAATATTTTTCAATTGCGCAAAACATAAATGTATTTTTTCACATCATTCACACAACATTTAATTTTGAGTTTCACTCCATGCATCACCATTAATGTATTTTTTCACATCATTCACACAACATATACACATTTACACATCAAACAGTTCGTGATGTACTGCCGGAAATGTCAATAGCGGGCTGTAGCGGGCTGTAGCGGACTGTAGCGGGCGGCGTAGCGGATTTTTCCCGTGATTTGGAAATCACACACGAATAGCTAGCGGGCCGTAGCGGTAGCGGCCACTACCGCGGCCGCTATAGCGGTAGCGGACCGCTATTTCAAACCATGCCTGGGATAAGCCACATATTGGCTACTGCTATAAATTGGCTATTAGAAGTAAACTACTAACCAAATCCGTGGGAATAATCAAAATCTTAAGTAGGAGAAGATAATGAGAGGTAGATATGAGTTGAGTAAGGTGAACCGGCAAAGAAGAGCGGAACTCATCCGATGTTGCAAAAAAAGAAGAGCGGAATAGACTGAAGAAGAAATAGCATACGGAGTAATAGAAATTGAAGTTACCAAAACACCCTTAAGAATGAGCGGGAAGAGACTTAGTTGGTTTAATTAATATATAGATATTGTTTTACTTATGATTGGTATGAATGTTTTGAAAAGATTTTCCTCCCAAATGTTTTGCAAAAATTATATATATGTATCAAACGTGATTATTTTATGGGGTTGAGTGGGACTTACTTAGCATTTTCGGCTAATTTTTGTTTCTTTGTTTTTCTTTCTTTTTCTGTACTTTATTTTTGCAGGAGATAAAGCTTGAGTATCTATTTGATGACGATGTTGATTCGAGAGAGATTCCGCTAGAACACCTAATTAGTAAATCATTGTAATTTATACTTTCAAGTTTTTTAGTGAATAATTGTTTTGGAGCTTAAATTGTTTTGGAGGTGATTAGCCTGTGCACTCGGTTAGGTTAGAACCGAGTGTGGCGGTAACGCCCCTATTTCCCTTTGAATTTTCCGTTGCACAATTATGATGTTTTCAAATAAAATTAATAATAAAGTATTATTTCAAAGTACGTGTTTTGGGTGGGAAATTTGGGGGTGTTGCACGCCGTGCCGAGAGGTCGGCCGTGATATGATGGTGTCGGCAATGGGAGGCCGACCTGAAAGTCGGGATGGTCTCACGGCCCTCGGCTGTGATGGTCTCCTTTAGACCCTCAGCCTCTAGGATGAAGATGCTCGTCTCGCGTCTCTCGGCCGTGATGGTCCCCTCTAGGCCATCAGCCTCTGGAGTGGAGATGCTCGTCTCACGGTCCTCCACCGTAATGGTCTCCTCTGGGCCCTCGATCTCTAGATGAAGATGAACGTCTCGCGGCTCTCAGCCATGATGGTCCTCTCTTTGATCGGCTTGAACGTCTTCGGAACTCAAGTCGAGCATCATTTAATCTTTTCACTCGAGCGCGTCGAGCGGCCTCGCCTGCACAACTAACTTGGTAACGGGCCGCACATCCCAACAGTATATATACACATATGACCATCTGCATGGCTCTCTTTTTTCAACACCTACGATTACCGGCCTATGGGTTATTGTGACCCTCGGCCTGGCTCATCATGTGGGGTTCTCGAACATGGTTGTCTGTGGCAGGACGACCATCTAGTGGTTTGCTGGACGTAGCATCTCGTGGCGGGGCCACTTAGCAACCAGCGGAACGTCTCATAAAAATAATCATTGGTCTGTTACTTTGAAAACTCAGACCCAATTTGCTCGCACTGCCCTCGAAAAAACGTGGTTGAGCGCTTTGGTGCCCTCGGGCCCCACAGGCCGCGTTTGGCACAGTCACTTCGCCTCGTGGCGCAGATGGTACTAGGGTACGATCTTCGCTCAGGCACTTGGTGCCGTGCGGACTAATGCGTAACCCCCAAATCAAAACGCGTCATCGGGGCACTACCCTCTAGAAACGGTCATCGAGGCAATACCCTCTGGAGACGCTCAGATCGCTAATCAAAGCCGATCGAGAGTGGGCCAACAGGCCCCACAAAAAATTAAATATTCAATAAAATATTGGCCGAACTAACCATCACAAGAGCTTCGCTCCGCATGATTTAATTCAGAGCATTTTTATCTCTGGTAAATAATAGTGATGTAACAGGTAATTATACTGATGTTATCCTATTATAGGTCATTCAGTTATGCTCTGATCGCTAATTAAGGTCGATTAGGAGCGAGCCGACGGGCCCACGACAACCAGTCATCTAATTTAAATGACGGTGAAGCTAATTACAACTTAGAGCATCGCTCGACATTATTTAATTTCAGGAGATTTTAGTCCCTAATAAATAATGGTGATAAAAAATACTAGCAATAATATTATTGTAAACTAATTAATTACTATCTATACTAATATAAAAGCAAAAGAATTTTGTGAATAGTATTCCCTCCCAAAAATGTCAACATCAAGCTATAGTTGGAAAAAAATGTTGGTTCACATGGTAAAACAAAAAATAACAATGGGTAAATAAGAATGCATTTTGGTGGGTCCGATAGATGAGTTCCGGTTGCTTAAAAAATAGTAGAAACAGTAAAGCAAGCATGCTCCTGCACTCCTAATGGTCAAAAAATATATTCACACTGTTCATACACACTAAAACAAATTGTGTGAATCCGGGTTATCCCACCAAGCCTAATCATTTTCGTGGCTTAGATTCATGAGAATTTTTAGCAAATCAATCCTATTGGTTCAAAGAGAGGTGCAGCTAATTCCTATTGGTTCTAAAGGGAGGTGTGAACTGTTGACATGAAATACGTGAGAAAATGTCCAAAAATCACTGTTTGAATTACTTTATTTTTATTGGTTGAATGGAGAGGTGGGAACAGTGAAACCGATGGAGTGTATCTCATTCCTAACAAGTTGCAATGCCACGCTCATCTATAAAAGAAACCGGGCATAAGAAGGATCTCTTGAATCTCTGCACGTAATTAGGGATTTGAGTCTGAAAAGAAAATACGGAGTAGGAAAAAATAACCTTTTGAGAGACAAAGGCCTCTGTCGAGAAAATAGAAGGGGTTATAATGCAAAGTCAGACAACATCCATGAGAATAGCCTCATATTCAGATGGAATCAAAGATAATAACAGCGAAACAAAGAGGCGTTTGTTTGAGGGGATGGGAGGTCTTGGTTCGGCACTTCGGCTACTTGAGTGTCGTTAGGGAGATCCCCATCGGTGACTTTCAATCATCACATCCAGCAAGATCCGAGAGATGGAGTGAGGAAAACTAATCAGAGATGGGTCTCCAGTTTTCCGTGCGTCAGAGCCGAGCGCCGTTCCTCCAGCGTCAGCGCGTGGCGGCCGATGCTGCGCGGTAGCAGACCGTTCAGGGACTACGATGCTGGACGGAGGATGTGGGTTGCTCTCAGTTCATCGATTGGAGGTCCGTCCGCCAGCACTTGCGAACAGATATCCGACCCTAGCAAGAAGAGAGCTCGAGGATGCTCTACAGGTCTTCAATCCGGCGACAATCAAACTATCGAGGCGGTTGGAGATAAAAATAGGGGAAGTCAGCAGTGGAAATTACAGGCAGTGGAGATTACAAACAGCATTTGTGTGTTAAAATCGAAAGCGACGAAGGTGGGGAAGGGAGAAGGGGAGACGTTCTGGAAATTCGATCTAGAAAATACGGAGTATACATGTGTAGTGTTAGACTGTTTGTGGAGGTGGGTATGGGTAAATCCAAAAATTCTAGAATTTGAATACGGAGTATGGATATTTGTTTTTGAATATATGAATCAATGTATGGTTCCTAATTTTCTCTAATTAAATAAACATTTCACAATAAGTGATGAGAGTGATCCGTTTCACAACTCATATTTTTGACTTGAACTAACTTTATTGGTAAATAAATACAAAGTTTACAATTCCATGCATGTAATAATTAAATTAAGTAAATTTTGATGTATACTTTATTTATTAGTTAAAAATATGAGTTATCAAACGGAGCAAAAACAACTACTTAGGGGGTGTTTGGATCTGATTCTCAAAACTGCTTCTGCTTCTTCAAGGAGCAGAAGCAGAAGCTGGAGTGTTTGGGTGAAATTCCAGAAGCACTTCTGGAGCTCTAATTTACTCTCAGAATCAGTTTTTTTAGAAGCTGGGGGGTACCAGCTTCTGAAAACTGATTCTGATTCTGCTTCTGCTTTTAAAAAAGAAGCAGAAGCAGAATCAGTTCCAAACACCCCCTTAGTACGTCATTATGATTAGATTAAATGTGTTTTGAAATCAAATGTGCTTAAAACCATTATTATTTCAAATAGGGATTCAACTCACTTTTTTGGAAACATTCAACTCATTTAAAATAGTAGGAAAACTTATATAAACATTATTTAAACATTTTTTAAAAATTTATATTGGGTAGAAAAACTTATATAAACATTATTTAAACCTTTTTTGACAAATTTATATTGAAGAGTTTTAAGGATGTTTCTGTTTGGACTTATTTCAATTTCAAATCAGAACAAACAAGGTTAGGCTTAAACGGATCATACCACACTAGATCAGATTTTGACATTTATAAAATACATATAGTCACGATATCTACCAGACTAGACTAAACCAGACCAAATAAAACCAGATTAGATCAAATCAGAAACATTCAATCCAATTAAAAACACCCTAAGAATGACATAAGTATTTTCACATATCTGCACTCCAACTTTAATCCATTTTGTATTGTTCAACTATTAGATTCATTTTTAGCTCACCTAAGGTTATTTAACAATTTTTCATTGTCTTACATTTTCCATAACAACAATAACATACACTTCTTTTAGAAATGATCATCCACCGTGCATCGCACGGGTACCGTACTAGTTCCGTAAATGAGAAAGTATATGTGATACTCTCTTTGGGTGGAGGCTCGGTCATGAAGAAAAAAGGTTGGGGTACACACTTTTTGTACACAGAAAGTGTACACTTGTTTGTCCCCCACAGACAAGTTGTCTGTCACGAAAATGGACAAACAACTCATCTCGTGACAGGCAACTTGTCTGTGGGGGACAAACAAGTGTACACTTTCTGTGTACAAAAAATGTGTACCCCTAGCTCCACCCCGGTCATAAATCACCCAAGGAATATTGTTGACTGAGTAAACTTCTCCAATAAAGCAACTAGGTACGTTACCCCCAATAATGCAGAGCTTGTCCTTCTCAGTTGAGGCCTTGGTCCCCATTCCCTTTCCACGACGTGGCTCGCTGACAACCAAGGACCAAACGGCGTGCTGTCCCCTTGCTAGCTGCTTGCCGGCGGTGGTCAAGTAAGGTCGCCGAAGGTGCAAGGACGGCGACGGAGGCCGGCCTCCAGTGGGAGTCCGGCAGAGCTTCAAAATGTCCCCTCCTTGAGCTCTAAGCTGCCATTAGCGGCAGAAGACTCATCCGGCTCGAGGTGGAGCTGCAACAGAGGCAGAGAAAGGTCATACTAACCGGTAAGGCGGATGAGTCCATTGCTACGACGTCCGCCGGTGCTCCGGCTTGATGAAAGAGCCGCATCTGGGATGATGAAGTTCGAGGTAGGCCGGAGTTCGCCCTTTACCTCCGGCTCGGTGCAGCATCGCCGCCGGGCTGGGTTGGCCATGGTTGCTTCTTCCGATTGTTTCTGGATTGGGTGTTTCCAGAACCATTTTTTTTGTTTTTTTTTTATGAAATCAGTGCATTTCGTATGAATTTTTTATAGAATACGTGAATCTTATTGGACCGATTATCACGGACGGTGCCAATGTTGAGTTTAATCCAACACGATATAGTAAATATATGTATAAATGTGTATGAACAAGCTCTTTTATTTTACGTGGAAACTCGAAAGGGAGAAAACCACGAGATTTTTTAGACTAATGTCCAAGCCCCCTCATTCTCATTAGACTCTCTTTTCCATTACATAATACAAGTATTGAAGCTCACATTAATGGAGGATAAAGTTAGCTAATCTAATCTAGAGAAGGAGGAGAAGTGGGGAAGAAGAGAGGAAAAGGGGGTAGGGGATAAATCTACCCTAATGGACCGAATGGACCGAAATGGGCCCAAAGGCTGAAATAGGCCTGATAGGCTAAAATGAACCTTACTAATTGGGCTCCGTACTACGTAAAGTCAACTCCTGAACATTAATAGGCCGGGATAATATATTCCAACAACATTAATAGATAAAGTAATATTCTGTAATAAAGTAAGAATGATTTTAAACCACACGATGTTTATCAAATAAGGCATGAGACAATTAAATAGGGACATCTCAATACGGTAAAACGGAACATTTAAAAGGGGGCGGTGGGAGTATATATATATTATTCTGTGGTACAAATATTCGTATTTATTTCATAGTAAAAGAATAACAAGTTTGCATTTAATAGTTTAGACTTCTCTCTATTTTTTCATTAATCATTTCCCGTTATCCTTTTGGTTTCATATTGCTTGATTAATTAATCCCTAAACATACCAATCCATAAAAACATCTTTCGAAAGCTCAGAGCAGGGGTGTAGATATGGAGGTCAGCCCTGACCCGTCTAACTCCAAATTTTAAAAATGTCTATCTTTTTAATGTAAATTTTTTTGAAAAATATTCTTTGTATGAGTAATGAGTCGGTTCGGTTAAGTGTCCTGGCTCTGGCTTGACTCAAATGATTGTGTTGAGCATTTGGACGGTGAGAACTATATCTCAATGGTAACTATGAGGCTATGACAAAAGACGATTCGTCGGCTGCTTACCAAACACAATCGTATAGTCATAATAAGTAGTAATGTGTACGTACATACTTTGAAGGTGTTCGCAACACATGTTAATATTAATTATTAATAATGTCCCAAAATTTAATTCATTAGGCATACCACTACCAAAAAACTTCGGTATAGACATGGAAATTCATCGGCACCGGTGCCGATGAATGGATTGAATGGTGATTCCAATGAAGTCGGGATGGACGACCTTTTCAATGAGTTGAGGGACAATGATGCTATGGAAGCTAGGGATGGGCATGCATGAAAAATCGTAACCGATTAACCGTACTAAATAATCGAAAAAACCGGTGTTTTTCTCGGTTAACTGTACCGTGTTTTTAAAAATTCACGGTGCGGTTAACTAACCGCAAGAAACAACGGTACACTGGACGGTTACGGTTTTGAAACTAAACTACACCGGTTAATCGATAATCTAAATATTACATGATTTAAATCTAAACTCATGTCACTATGCCAGTCAAGTATTGCGCGAGTCTGGGAATTGAACGACAACATGTGATGTGCATTAAACAATTAATATCAGTGAGTAATTTGGGAGAGTTTTTTCTCATGGAAAGGTGTTTTTCAAACTTATTTCCCAAATTAAGGTGCTTTTAAACTTATTTCCCAAACTATGGTAGTTTTTTGCCATGTCATCAGATTCTCACTGCGGATGCCACATCACTCATCCACATCAGCCCAACAATATAATTACATGTCATCTAATTTCAATAATTTATGTGTGCTATTAAAATATGAGTTAAGCATAAAAGTAGGGACTAAACTTTGTTTAGTTTTTGGTTTTGGAGACTGAAGTTACTTTATTTTGATTTTAGGGACTCAAACATTTTTCTATCAAATTTCATTTAACTTGTAAACATTTACTCCGTATAATAATAAAAGTATACGTATAATACGAATAACAATATGTACATGTGTACAGAGAATTACAAAAGCTAGTCAAGGTTATGTATTGCATGTGCGTACAAGGCAAAACGAATTAAATTAACTGAGATACATATGAACCGATAAATTGTTTCAAAAGCAAATTTTAGGACGTTTTTATTAAATCATATTTTCAGCTTATCAGTTTTATTCAACAATTTTTTTTCAAATACATAACTTTTAATTTTTGAATACTCAAATGTATAATAATAAAAGTAAACTAATATTAAACCAGGTAGAAGTTACTGTTTTGGTGTAATTGACTAATTGGGTAAAATTGCTAAAGAGAACTATTTGAGCTATTTTTCATACGTAGTATGTGGTATAATTTTTCTTTATTTTATTAATGAAAAATATTTAAAATTTACTCTCTCCGTCTCGTAATTATGTTCCTACTTTCCTTTTTGGGATAGTCCACATTAAAGTTCTGTTGGTCGAAAATAGGACGCTCGTAGACTTTAGGAAAGCTACGATAGACACTCAAGCAGGAAAATAGAAAGTACTACGAAAATGGAAAGTAGTTAGGGAGTTTGAGAGCCAAAATAGCATCTAGAAGTTCCTCCACTAATCTGAATTACAATCTGCCTTTTATAGGCGTATACAAATCGTAACCGTTATCGATAATAATAACTAATTAATTACAACATTAATACGAATTAAATACATAATTAAACAACGCATTAATTGCTTGACCGTTACTTTTCCCAGCAGGCAGGTCGGGCGAACTGACAGGCTCCCCGCTGGACTGGTAGATAGGCTCCAGGTTGTGGACTTGGATCCACGGGTCCAAGTTCAGGGCTTGGGCCGATTAGGCTCTGGGCCTAGTCCTATTACTCCATCAAGTTCCTACTTCAAACTTTTCCTTATTTGGCAAATGATTTACACCTAAACAGTGTCAAATAATGTTTAAACAGTGTCAAACAGTGCTCAAATTGTGCACTTCACAGTAAAGTCAAGTTTATTTCTTAATATGCGTGAAGTCAAGTTTTTTTGGAATGTGGATAATGCTTCTCTGTTGCTTTCCTACCTTTTGGTGATGAGGTATTTTTAATCATAATCTACAAGTTTGTGCAAAGAATTGTTGTAGTATAAAAATGAAGAAGTACCTATGAATAGATTTGCAACTATTTTGGATTGGAAGGGTTTATTTTACTATTTTAAACGTTCTATTAAGTTAATTTTTATTCATTTATATAAATATTCAGAATTCATATA